AATTCTGCACTCATGTAGCCTATAGCAGTCAATGGTTAAAGAGCAGCTTTAAGCTTTGTTGTATTATTTTTTTTTTAATGGAACAATCAAACATTGACATTCCAAGACATTCCAGGTATTTTCTTTGTTGTCTAGATGAAGTATGCAAATTCTCAGAATTTTGTCTTGATAACTGAGTTTCTGACATTAGATTGAAATCTGCCTGCACCTTGGTGGTTGGCTGTATCATATTGTGAAGTCACCTCTAAATTCTACAGTGGTGAGGTGAGGAACTGAAAAGAGTTGCTGGGGAGAGGGACATCTTGGGGTGCTTTGTTTGGCTTACTGCCCCCAGGACCTTGCCCCCCGGGTAAATGGATGAAAATAGATGGCTGGAGTGGTGAGGTAGCTCAACTTAATAACTGATTCCAATTGAGCCATTGATCCCGAAAGGCTGCGAGTTCAAGTCCCAAGTAGTACAGATTAAACATGTTTTTGCCTCCTCAGACATTGTGCCATGTGGGTTACAAACACACGATTTCAAAGACATTTAAACGATTATGATATTTTTTGCCTGGAAAGTTCTACTGATTGATCCTCATGGATTTATCTGTCTTCCTCATCTTCTTCCTTTTCCTCATCCCCCCTTCTTTTTTATTCTTCTCCCTCTCTTTCTGAACACTTCTCCATATGTATGTTTAGCTTAGCTATTAGGCTTTATGCACAATTTTCATTCGACAGGGGTAGTCCCAGCACAGATAGCTCAACTGGATCACAATTAGCAATTGCTCTTCTTCTTGCTCTTCAAAATACCCGGCCCCAATTCATTTCTGCACAGCAGCTATAATTCATTATTGCAATTAAAGTCTTAGCCGTGAATAGTGGAGTACAATGCAGTATGCTATTAAAAATGTATGAGAGCAGCCAGCAGGTGGTTGCTTGTATCATTTTTTTTTTCTCTGTGGCATAGTTATCTTGTCAGCAATTAATGACACAATTAACCTTGATCACTCTGACAGATCCACGCTTAGATTAATGATGATGCCTCCTGACGCACCTCCCTTGCTGCTCTTCATCACCACTTGTCGGATTGCACCCTGGCTGCAGAAAAAGGAGGGCTACCTGTGCATTCCACTGGCTAGCTCATCGCTGCTGTAACTGCGCTCATACAGCATGTTACTGCTGATACGGGGATGTCATCATCAAGTGTAGCACCCACCCTCCCGTTGCCCCCTGGTTAACATGGTTACCTCTGTTAGGGGTAGGGGGGTTAGCACCGTTAGCTGCTAGTCACCAGCTTAGCTACCTCCATGTTAAGAACCATGACCAAACAATTCATATACTCATATACTTTAGACTCATATACGTATACAGCCTTTGAAGCAGCGTAACGTTTGATGACATATTATATTTCACTACAAATCTATCAGTTAGCACTGGTAAACATTTAGTAAAAATTCATTTCTATGTAAAAACTAGTTTGTGTGGTGCAAGCCATCAAAAGATCATTAAAAAGATCACTTTTGAGCTGTAGGCAGGCTAACCTTTCCACCTCCTGGAAAAAAGGCTATTCCAGAGGAACAATTTACATGAACTGTGTGTGTTCACTATACCATCTAAAGCAAAAATATAGGACTCATTACATGAGACTTTATCAAAACAAGAAAATGTTTTAATGGGCCTGTATTTCGAACAGGGTTTATGACCCCTGCACGTCTGGAAACATGGTTGTGATATAAGCCTAATTGACAACAAATATACAGAGAGAAAGGTGAGCAGGTTGCCCTGTCTGCAGCCTGTCACTGCTTCTCTAGTCATTTAGTTGAACATCTTTGTATAGCCTACAGTACTGGTAAATTCCTATGTGAGAGAATGCAAAAACAAACACTCAGTGACACGCAGACTATCTGGGACACAGCACAAAAACAGGAAGTGACAGGCACATACATACATCCAGAGCACACATAATGCTTTTGTGCGCCACCGCTATTTCTAATGCCTGAGCCTCAAGGTTAAAACACAGTTGTGAATGCACACAGAACCTTCAGTTCACCGCCAACCACCTCACTCTCTTTCATCTTTCCTTTCCACTCTCATTACCCTGTCCCTCCCTCTCAAGTATCCATCTATCTGTCTGTCTGTCTGTCTGTCTCCTTCGTTCTGTTCAGAATAGGTTAATTATCCTCTCATTGCTAGTGGGGGTATTTATAGACCTCTGTTTGCATTAACACAATCACCAAGCTCTCTCTCTCTCTCTCTCTCTCTCTCTCACACACACACACACACACACCCACACACACACACTTTGTTTCACTGTATACATCTCAAACAGTTCCAATCATCTTAAATAGCACAGCACATGGCCAATCACTTTTCCTCACTAGCATTTGGTCCTGACACCCTATTTGCATAATCCAAATCCTGCTCTATAGCTGGACCTGAGGTGAGTCACATGGGTCCACCTGAGCCGATGGGTTCACACGCTTAAGTGTGACAGACAGGGAAAGTGAGAGATAGAAAAGGTCTGTTACAAGCTATATGTAAAACATAAAACAAGTATATGAAAAAAAAGATATCACCTGCCCTTATCTTTTATCTTACCTGTTTCTCATAATTTATGTGTGTGTGTGTGTGTGTGTGCATATGTGCATAGATGCTTGATTTTGTGTATCTGTATGTTTCTCTCTCTCTCTCTCTCTCTCTGTGTGTGTGTGTGTGTGTGTGTGTGTAGGCCTATGTGTGTGTGCATAAGTGAGTGCAAGTGCAAGCATGTACAAATCACTGCTGCTAGTGTGAGCCCATTTATTGTAATCTGTGGTTAGAGGCAAGATATCTCTCTGACAAACACTCTATTGCATTAGACGTAAACAGACTTTTTCCATATTGAACTCTACTCATTTCTGTGACATTCATTCATGAATAACAAGTAATGCTTTCACAGTCTTTCATCTGTAATCTACAGCCGATAAGTATTTTTTATTATGAGCTAAAAACATAACTTAATGTGTTCAAGGGTCTCACAACTGCAAAAATGTGTATTTTTCTGCACATATACTGAAAGAGTGATGTCTAATGAATGAACCTGTGTGACAGTGGAAAGCATGATTGCTAGGGTCATAGGGGCTTAGCCCTGAAATAGCTGAATGAGGTAGGGTCAGGCATCTATTGACAACTATTGTAATAAAAATAAATGTTATATAAATCAAGTCTTTTTCTTCCTCTTCTCCTTATCATTATTATCATTATCATTACTTCAAACACATAACTGTTAAAAAACAGCCCTTGCTTCTTGTAACATAGCGTGTATGAAATGAATCAAACATAGAGCTGTGACATATGGAGAAAATCAAATATCACGATATGTTTGGCAAATACCTTGTTATCTACATTGTGACAATACTGTAGGGTTGTCTATTGGTGCTTTACACAATGAGGGGTCATGGGTATCTGAGCTGACATTGGACGAGAGGTGGGGTACACCCTGCACAGGTCACCAGACTATCACAGGGTTGGCACATAGAGACAGACAACCATTCATGCTCACACTCACACCTACAGGCAATTTAGAGTCACCAGCTCACATAACCTGCATGTCTTTGGACTGTGGGAGGAAGTCGGAGTCCTCTTGCTGTGAGGCGACAATGCTAACCACTGCACCACTGTGCAGCCCAAAATGCATATCCAAAATCTAAGACAATATCCAGTCTCATATCATGATATCAGTACTATTATACAATGTATTGCCCTGCCCTAATAAAAGCAAAGTTATATTTTAAACAATTTATAAGAGGCTCCTCCAATGGACTCCTCCTAGTCTGTAATGTATTGACATTTTATTTCACTTTGGTCAAATATTTCAGGATGTGTGCCTTATGGAACTATAAATTCAATAACAAAACTCTACTTTAAAAAGCTACCAACGTGAACTTTCCATATAGGTACAATTATCACCTGCCAGATTTTATGGCAAACATAGCAAAATGCTTGATCCAGTTTTGAACATATACTCCAGTCACTCTGTATTTGAAATAAGAGCAACACTGTAAAATATTTGTCTGTTCTTTCATAGTAAATTACTGTCATTTTTACAGTAATTTATTGAAATGACAGCTGTATACTGTGATCTCACAGTAGTTATGCCTGCATATTATTGTGATTTAGCAGTGTGCTCCTGTAAAATTAGCTGCAACCTCACAGTATGTTCCTGTTAATTACTGAATTTAACTGTAATTTCTCAGTTTATGTACATTTGATTACTGTGATTTAGCAGTATGCTTTTGTAGGATTACTGTATTTCACCGTAATCTCACAGTTAAACTGCTGCTTTGTAAAATTACTTTATTTACTTGCATGATTTTCACAATAAAATTCAGAATTTGGTTGAATATCACAGTAAAGCCTGTGAAGTGATAATAATGGAGGCATTATTTATTATGAAATATTACATATTGTAATAATTTGCAGTGTACTAAGTGAACTGTTAATTTCAGCTGCTATTGTATAAACACGCTGGTTAATGTAATGAGGCACACCTGCGGGACTCCTTGTTTAGGATTCAGCCCTTCCACTGGTGTGTCGCCACTACCTTGTGGCAGGTGTTCATTCCTCTAAACAAAAAGCACATCCAGGCCTCACTGCTGCGGACGCCCTCCCTAATACCTGCCCGTAATTAGGCCCTTTAACGGGGACTAAGTGGTGCCTCTCGGACAGCTAGGCTATGTGCATTAGTATTTCGCAGAGGCCTATCTCTGCTAAGCAGGGACTGCTATCGCGAAAACACACTCACAGGCAAGGATCATCCCAGTATCGTTAGTGTATTTACTGTTTCAGTGGCGCGGGTGATGGACGTGTGACAAACAGCACAACGGGCCCCGTGACGCGTCGCTTGGACACAAAACGAGGAGCGCATGATCACAAACCAATGAGTGTGGCTACAGGGAGAAAAAGGGGGGTGGGGGTGTAAATGAGATGATGAGGAGGGGGGAAAGCGTTATTAAATGTTAGACAAAAATAACACTTACATCTCTGAATTTATCCCATCTCCCAGCGAGCCACTTATCATCCAAAAAATTGCCGCTGTCGGAGCGAGCGGAGACGTGTCCGAAGGCGACGGCGCACACACACAGCAAGGCGACGCTCAGCATCTGCGGACACACAACAACAGCACGGAGAGAGGACATCGGATCAGACTGGAGGACACCGCAATCCCGCTGAAAACAGAGGCAGTTCAATGCGCATCACATTAGCGATGAACACCGACCGTCAACACTGAACACAGAGATGCGGAGGTGTTTTTTCTCCTACCTTGTCGCATCAGCTGCTATCCAGACTGTATGTGCTCGCTGCCGTTTTCTGTCACTAGTAATAACAGCCCTGTCCTCCCTCTCTCTCGCTCTCTCTCTCTCTCTCTCTCTCTCTCCGCACCGACTCTCTGTGCGCAGCAAAAAACGGGAACGCGCATGGCACCGTGCGCGGCCCCTGCGCTCTGTCCCTCTTTCCTTTTTTTTCTCAGCCTCTCCTCAGTGCGGAGGAAACAGTCATGATGGCTCACTGTGGGCTGTTATCAGGCCACCGCGAAAGTGTCGTCCACTGATTGTTTCTTATGAAAAACACATTGGGCAATCCTATGATAAGGGTTAGACAGATAAATTATTCATATCACGGCAAACAACAGATTTTGTAGGAATGTTTTATTGATGGCATGTAAATAAAACAACAAACAAAACAAACAGAAAACAGCCATACTGTAAGATCACTAAAAATACAAAGATTGAAGTGTGTGCTTTCCAAAAGAAATATTAGATCAGATCTGTGTGTGTGTGTGTGTGTGTGTGTGTGTGTGTGTGTGTGTATGTGTGTATGTGTGTGTGCATGCATGTGTGTCCTTTACTTCTCCCATGTTTCTGCTCTGTTACAGCCATCACATGGGAGCCGCTCAGGCTTGTTTGTACAGTAGTGACTCATGAGAGAGTTCCACTTACATTCCAGGCAGAGGTTAGCTCAGGACTGTAAATTGATGCTACAAGATAACACGGTCTCCATATGAAATGGCCCACTGTGGATGATTTGTGGAGGTGGGTGGAACTGCCCTCTTTCAGTTGTAATCTTCTCTAGGACGTTACAAAAGCCCCAAAACATTCTTCCTCAGAGCGGTTATGTGTGACTGAAGGTGTTTCGAGGGGGGAAATTTGTGGGTGGTGCACTTGTTTTAGCAGGATACCACAGCGACTGCTGCAGTTTTGTCATTACAGCATACAGATAGATGTATAGATGGGATACAAATGAAAGAAAACTAGGATTACCCCCCCACGGTTGTATGCCTTCACCAACCAGTCAGGGCACAGTTTACATCCATGTTATCCCAGACTCAAATGTAGCCACAGCAGCAGACAATGCTTTAAATATGGTTGATGCTACAAACTAAATCTAAATCATGGATGCTTCAGCACAGAAGATCTGTACAGTCAGAACAGTTTCAAGATGGACATCCAAGATTAGTGTCCCCAATTCAGTATCTGACCAAATGTCTCTCCTTCTGTTAGTTATGGTGTTGAATAATGGCTAGAAAACATTATGATGTAACACTGAAGTTGACCTTTGACCTTTTGGATGTAAAATCTCATCACTTCTATTTGACACTTGTGTGAAATTTTGTCATAATTGGCATGTGAATTCTTAAGTTATGGCCTAAAACATGTCTTGTGAGGTCACAGTGACCTTGACCTTTGACTACCAAAATCTAATCAGTTCATCCTTATAATATATAATATCAAAAAGCACTCTTTAAAACAGCGTTACAAAGGCAGCAAAATAAAACAGACACCATAACAACAGGTTTTAAAAGAATACAGGTCAAATACAATGTGGTGTATAAAAACTGGGGAAATAAAAGACAGAAATTAGAAGTCTGTTAAACTCAGGAAAGGCTCTCCAACAAAAGTATGTTTTAATAAGAGACTTAAAAGAGATCAGTGTCTCAGCCGACCTGATTTCCTCGAGCAGATCGTTCCAGAGCCTCAGGGCCCTGACTGCAAACTCTTTGTCCTCTTTAGTTTTCAGCTGGGGCTCTAGAACAGACAAATGACCTCTGGCTGAGGATCTCAAAGTATGTGCCAACGCTTACAGTACTAAGAGGTCAGAGATATATTAGAGAGAGAGGCAATGAAGAGCCTTTAGAGTAATCAGTAAAATCTTAAAATGTATTCTAAAACATACCAGAAGCCAGTGTAAAGATGCTTAAACAGGGGTGATGATATCACATTGTTGTTGACTCCAAGTGCAAAAATATTTGTGCAAAATATAAAGAAATTCCCTCAAGGTGTTCTGTAGATATGGTAGTCTATATATATGGCATATGTAGAAATCTGGACCCTGTGGCTGGACCAGTTGGGAATCACTGGCCTATATATTCTATAAGTCTCTGGAGTGAATATTATTCTTCCAAAAGATATTCCCTTATCTGGTGTTAAAGTGGCATTTAAACCCTTTAAAGTCTACACTAAGAAAAAAATAGATGGAAAAAAAAGAACTCTGTATTTTTTGTACTTATATTGTACTAAAAAAAAAAACAGACCCCAGAGATTTGAAAATATAGGCCTCGATTAAACAATTGAGAAGTCTCTTCATGGTAATTGTAAAACAGAAGAAAAAAAAATTAAAAACCTATTGCTAATGGTAATATGTTAGCATACCAGCATATATCAAATTGTTACCATGGAATTAGTAGTATTACCAGTACTAGCATTATTTCCACATATTAATTCTAGATATTTACCATTACAATATTTTGAAAACATCTCAGAAAAAAATCATACTGATACAATTTTTGTCATTGAATATATAATGGAATAACATTATATAGCCTATATGGTATTAACAAAGATGAATATCTTTTTTTTTTACTTGATAAAAATTGATTGATTAAAAATTGTAAATTAATTATCTTAGCATCACTACCTTTACCATAAAAGGCCATTGTAATTGTTTGGTTGAGCATGGCATTAGACAGTACAAAATCATACTTCTAAAATTATTTCAGCATATCTATATATATATATATATGTTGGATAACATCAAATGTACCATTTAACAACAAATGAATGATCAGAAATGGGTTTATTTTGTGGCATATAGTCAGTTTCAATACATTAGCTTAGCTTTATCACAAAAAGACGAGACTTTTTTTTTTTAAAAAAAAAATCAACTTATTTTGTGTTTATGTATTTATTTGTTTATTTATGTTGTATGACATTAGATAAATCTCTTTGAGACCTCTTACACTATAACATGGAGAAAAAAATATCTGTACCTTTGAAAATCCCACCACACAGAGCCCTCACGTCTGGAGTGGATTTTTTTGTTACGAACTTCCTGTAGGATGCAACATGCAAAGGCATTTACAGACACAGCAACATCTGGTGGATTTTTAGCATAACATACCTAAACCAGAAGGCAGAGATAACTCAGTCAGGTGGAATTAAGCTCAACACATTTTTCTTTCAGATACAGTGACTTTAAATGTGCTCTACCAAATGGCTGAGCAGAGCGTTAACATGTCAGGTCAGTATCTCCCATACAGTTTTAACTATGTTGAAATCTGCTGACTGTAAAGGCCATAGCATATGATTCACACTGTTTTCATACTTATGTAACCATACAGTGACCCCTCGTGCCCTGTATGTATACATCTGCATTCACTGAAATGGCTCTCCACTCATTCAGGATTTCTTTGATTTGTTAACCAATCTGTAGCTGAACAAGATAAAGAAATGGACTGAATGCAGTGGAAATAAAAGAGCAAGAACATTGCAAACATGGAGAGGGTGGGCAAGTTAGAGAATATTAATATTATTTCCAGGCTCTTCACAGAGAAGCCTGATGGTCAGGAGGGTCACGGCATCATTATGCACAGTTGCTGTAGAAACCAACCTTGACCTCAGCTTCACATCTTCATCTTCATAAGAGGCTGTGGAAAGAAAGTATGTGTGTGTGTGTGTGTGTGTGTGGGCATGTAGAAAGGATGACAGGGTGCAGCTATTTGAAAGTCAAATTAGAGCTAAGAAGCATGCATGACTGCATCACAGAGACACACGAGGATGTATCATGGGGCGAGCGCAACTGAGATGCTAAATGGTCAACTGCATAAGCACACACAGGTACAGACAAGTAAAAAAATGTTTGTTGTGAGCTCTGTGTTCACTCCAACAGGAAGTGCGTGACATGTAAACAGGAAACTGGTGGTGAAGGCACCATTGTGGTTGGAGGCTTCAGTCTTCTTTGAAGCATTCTTTGTCCTCTCAGATCAGCACAAGGTGATCTAATTTTGGTATGACAAGATAGTTGTGAAGATGGCAGTGTTTTGGACTATGGATGACGCAGTCATTCTTTTATGGCTTACTGTTAGCTTGTGCTTTATGACATTTGTGCAGATGGAAGCAGTAAAAGAGGTGTTCTGTGTATGTGTGCGTGTGCGTGTGTGCGTGTGTGTGTGTGTGTGTGTGTGTGTATCTTTCAGCCCAGGGGTTCATACATTATTCAGTCTCAGACATTAAAGATGTAGATGTGGTCAGAGACATATGCAGGAGAAACACACAGAGTACTCACACACACACAAATCCACGCAAGCATGCCCACACACACACGGACTTCTGATGCTTAACGAAACTCTTTATAGATTTTTCATTCCACTGTAATTTGATTTTTCTTTTTTTTTCTCCTGTGAGTAAATTCTTGATCACACATTGTTGACTCAATCTCTACGCAAGCAGAGAGAAAAGATGAGAAAGGAAGGACTTGAAGAAAAATTAGGACAAAAAGTGTGTATGCCTGTGTGTGTGTGTGTGTGTGTGTGTGTGTGTGTGTGTATTTGGATGGGAGAGGCATGAAACGTGTCTCAAGGAGCTGAGATTTCACAGCCCAGTGACTCTGTCACTGTGCACCTGCTCACTGAGACAGTGGGAGGGAGGGAATGAGAGGGAATGAGAGGAAAGAAGGAGGTGAGGTGAGGGGGTTTGGGGTAAAAGGGAGTTGAAAACCCATAAAGACAGAATCAGGGTGGGTGTTCCAAAGGAATTTATTTGGCAGAATTGATAAAAACTGCACAGAATAGCCCACCATGCAATACCCTATCTTTGCAGTTTACTATGAATATGCCACTTTGTACTTTACCATACAATAGCACATTAGACCACATAGGCCAATCCATTCTTTATTTGTCACATGGAATTGCTGCTTCATAACTGCTGCTTTATAATTGTCCATGTTGCCAGATGGTTCTGGTAATCCATGGTTCCTGTCAGTGGAATGATTTAACTGTCCACACATCCCGACCTCAACAAGACGGCCGCTTGGTCGTTCTTCCTGAACATGAAGCTTTGCAACTGCTTATCAACAGTGTTTAGCAGTGATCCACAGCAGGAACAGGACAGCGCCTCACATTCCCAC